GACACATTTTACTATTTTTTATTAACTTTTCAAAAGTGAAATGTAACCTTTGTGGCACCCTTTGGGGCAAGGGTGCATTTTAAATTTTAAAGGGTAATTGGGATTTTCCACGGCAATTAATTGATAGATCGATAGCTAATACACACCACTAGGTTCTCTTAACTACCCCGACAATTTTAAAACCAGGCTTATGCACGTTTAAAAAAATCAGGTAAATGTACATGCCCTTTCAGTCAAGATTGGCAATTCAATTTAAGCCCTTGAAATGGAGTTTTGAACTTGACAAGTCCACTACGACTATGTCACTCAACATTTCGAGCTAGATTTTTTATGACATGTAGTCCCATGCCAACCATTTATGCTGGCAAAGTTTCAGCTGTTTAGCCTTTTTTTGCTGCTCTCGGCAACCATTTAACCAACATACACCCTTGCCTGTAATGCGGGTTACAGGAGTGCCACTTTCGCTAGATCTTTCTCACAGGGAGATTCCCATTTAAAAGCGTCGAAATTAAATAAACTTTGGTACAAACAATCACCACGCTGTATGCTTACTGACACATTCATTTTAAGATGGTGGATTCAATTTTATAGTGCTGGGATCAACAAAGTTGATCAATTAAAAATTTACTACAACCCACTGTTAAACCATACGAGTATATACACTTTATTAAGCCGACAGTAGGTGTCAAAATTAATTGTCACCAATACTTTTGAACACCGGTGAGAACCTTAAGAAATGTAGAAATTGTTATTCCTTTCATGAAGGTTATGTATTCAATAGATTGCTGTATTATATTCCTCTCACAGTCCTCATCTACACTGTCCCTTAAATTCTGTTCCTCCTTTCCCGGCCACTTAGGACATCGCGTTATAATAGAAAGGGCAATATCAAGCTGGCTAAAACCAATTGAAGCTCGCTGATTTCAACAAGAATAGATAGGCAATCCTTAAATGGTAGAAAAACATTGTGATTTTAAGCGAGCTCAGTCAGTGTAGTATGATAGTGTAGTTTCCAGGCTGCATAGTTTCGGAAACCTTTTTTTTTATCCCATCTAATACACACTACCACCTGGATCCACCAACCTCCCTCATTTTAGGTGACTTTCTTTCGCCATTGCTGACCCTGTCCCTTACCTAAGGGTGAGTCTGTTAATCGCTTTATCTAGGCCTCATTTCATTTTAATGATCAGAGGACAGTTTGGACATGTAGAACAGGCATTGACTAGAGCATCTGTGGTATCGTCCATTCCAAAGAGCGTGCATGATTGCAAATGAAATGTTAAAAGAGGAATCAAACATTTGCGAAACTGATGGCATATAAGCTACCCTACTTTACGCTGACTTTTGCAGTTTCTTACTTAGCGATAGATTAGTGGTAAAGATTGATCACTTAGTTTTAGATTTCTTGGTGCTCGGTTCAAGCTGCGAGATAACTTTACACTACACAATGACTCTTTAATCTGATTTCAGTACTGAAAAACGGTATTATCAACTGGGCATAGTTCAACTACATTTGTTCTTGTAGGATACCTAATTGTTTTCTACTCAATGACATGAATTTACCACCATCATTAAGAGATATTGGTATGCAAATGAGACGTCATCCGCTAATTTCAAATAACGAAAAGACACCAAAACCCAAAAGCAAAAACAAACGAACAAAAAGTACTTCCAAGATAAGGGTGTAATCTCCACTTCCTAAAGTTTCATGTTTTATCATAGAAATGAGGATTAACTACTTACTAACAGAGCTCAATTAAAGCACCCCCATTAGTCAATTTAGCGTCCACTATTTGCACAAGGGTGACCGCTGACAATTGCCTTCACTCTTAGCAGGCGCACTGATATGTCGCAACATGGTGCAAACTTTCAAGGTTGAAAAATGAAAATGCCGTTAATTCGCAAGTTTATATATCTTACTTCTATTTCCTTGTGAAAGTGAATAGCTACCTATAGAATATAGATCCTCTGTGATACTGAATTATTGGAACTCCACGATTTGTCCCATATCATTCCAATTGTCCATTCCTTTAAATTTTGTGTCAAGGATTGCATAAGAACCACACACGTTAAACTGAAAAAGTTGCGTTCTCAGGAAAAACCGGTGTTAAAACCTACGCTACCGAGTTATGGATACACCTGGGATATTTACAAAGTACTTAAGAATCTAAGTCACTCTCGGCTATCACCTCAAGCAACTCTTATCTTATAGTTCTTTTGTTGTTATGATCATAACTCAACAGTGTACACTGTGGCGTGTAACCTTTTTGGTAAACCAAATGTCACTTAAATAATAAGAAAAAAGTTCCAAGTGTTTTACAAACGTGTATGTGCGTAACTTGTTAAGCCAGTTTTGTTCGGGCGCAGAGCACTTGAAAAGTTAACTTGAAGATATTTAATCTCTATCAGCAACTTATTTTTATAGACTCTCTTGCATTTCATCTTAAGAATGTGTCCTTGTGAGATGCAAGCAATATCAAAATTTGAGTCTACATGGCACCATCCAGAATTTGAAACTGTTTTGTGTACATACTGGTATAAGACCAAGTTAAAAGCCTGCCACATATTTTTCCCAAAGTCCGAACAGTTCACGAGATAAAGTGGTTCGAGCTGTTGATTAAGCAGGAGAGATAAATGAGGAGGAATTTGGAACTGATTACAGCTCTCATCCAAGCATTCAGGCCATACTAATTAATCATTCTTCAAACATGACCACAAATTTTGATTTTGAACTTACTAACTCAAAGCAAATGGAGAAGTTTTTGTAAGAAATGAATACGTGTAAATCCTGCGGCCATGACCTTATACCTTCACGATTACTGAAGGATTCTGCATCCGTGGTATCAGAGCCTCTTGCAAAATTATTGAACTGTTCAATCAATCTAGGTCACTATCCTTCACGCTGGAAAATGGGGTAAGTGACCCCTTTATTTAAGGATGAGGAATTTTGTAAAAAGAACTATAGACCCATATCTGTTCTTTCGGGCCTCAATAACATTTTTGAACGAATCCTAGCAAAACAACTTGAGCCTTTTTATCAATATATATTATCAGATTTTATCTCTGCCTATAGACCAAATTACAGCTGTGCTGGAGGAAAAGTTACGATAGTAAAGAAACTGTGACAGTCGTTTCTATAGACTTATCAAAGGCTTTCGACAGTATCCCTCATGCTCTCTTGCTTGCCAAACTCA